TTTCAGAATTGTAACTTTGGACAGCAGAGTAAGCCCTCTCAAGAAATTAGATAAACTTCTCTGTAGAAATGATCAAGAATCAACCACAGCTCTTTTTCTATCAACCACAGCAGTTTTTTCTATGACTGTCCCTAGTTTTAGAGCATGGAGCTGTCCCTAGTTTTAAAGCACAGAGCTGCCCTAGTTTTAGGGCATGCACTCATGGAAAGCAAAGCACAGCTGGATGAAACTATAGAACTTTTCATGTGCTAAAGGTCACCATTCTGATGAAAAAGAATAGTGAACTCCGGGTTCTTGAAATTTGCTATGATTTTGCTTTGAAGAAGCTTACTCATATTTACATTTTATAACTGGAAATTAAAGCGAAACAGGAAAACAGCTTGCTTAAGAAATTATTTCCAAAAATCAGTAAGTGAGGCAACGGCTAACAAATTATCCTTTTAGTTACCTAGGTTTGAAATGCAAGGATATGGCAATACAGAAATATATAATTTAATACTGTTTCAGGCAAACTCATGCTACAGTTTGTAAAAATACAGTGAAACACTCCTGTATGACAATGTTTTAGGGTTTTTAGTTTGCTTGTTTTTTGACACTTTTGCCCACAATTTCACATACACACATACAGTCCATGGATATGAACACAATAAAACATATTTACATAATACACAGAAAACTGACTAGTGTTTCCCAGAAAGCGTGTTAGCAGAATTACTACCCAAGTTAACAAAATTACTAATACATCCATTTTCACTGAAGAAAGTGCTTGAAAGTCTTAAATCACATAGAAATCATTCTAAACAGAGCTACAAAATTCTTAAGAAACATGCAGCACACACAAGAACTTACACCAGAACAATCTGAAAAAACAGTTGTAAGTAAATTTAAATAATCTAAGTAAAATTAAATATGACCAGAGTGTACATATTTTCCATGGTTATCTCTTCCCTAAGCCATTTTGGTAGGCTGAGAACCAAGCAAATCAATGAGCTGCCCATTTAACTGTGTACTAGCGTAGCAGGATCACTTCTCAAGTTAACAAGACCTTTTTTATTTATTTATTTTTGTAACCCTTGGGGTTTCTTTTCCCTGGATGGCTCTGGAACAAGTGCTGGACAGGCTGTCATTACTTGCATTATTAGCTCGAATAAGCACACAGCTCTAGGTGGTATAGCTGCAGGCTAAGGTACCAGGCTGGGTACAGATGGACCCTGTGCTCATGCAGAGCACTATTGAATGTATAGGGGCTCCCCATAGGGACACATGTGAACCCAGCCTGATCAAGCCAATTGTAAAGGCCCATACTTGTGGAATAGCTTTATTTCCTACAGTGCCAATGCATTCATCACAATTTCCTAAAGACAAAAAGAAACAGAGGTCTACTAATAGGAGTTTCTGAAACATGAACTTAACATAAAGCAGAAAAATCCTACACTGAGAGGAAGTTAAATGAGTATCTCTGCCCTCAGTGTAAACAACTCCGTTTCATGCATGTGTGTACACTCCACAGCACACAAACCAAGTCACAAGAGCTTTGATTACTTAATTACACAGCTTATGTTCATAGCTTATAATTGTTTACAGCATAAAAAGCATAGACTCTTTACTCTGATTAACACCTATCCCTGTGTACTAACAAGACAAATTTATTCCAGGAATAATCTCACAATGGATTTATGAGATAGTAAATCTACTGATCACAAAACTGCTTAAGCTCCATTTGCCATGGTTTGGTCTCTCCCCTCCACCCATATGAAAAGGTGTACAACAAATTAACTGAAGCTCTCTACCACCTTTTTATTTTAATAGAGGCATTAATGTGGGGTTTTGCTCACCTATTTGATAACAAAAAACTGTTACAGAAATACTCGGTTTCCACTTCTAACTTTCACACAGTTTGATCAAAGCTGGTTTACAGGCGACAGAAGAATGACAGGGATATAGATGTATCCACAAACCTTATTTTCCTAAAGATACAAAACTAAACTAAACAGGAGAAAGAAGGAAGATATTATAATATTGTTTAACATAACAGAAAAGGAAAAATCATAACATTTGGCTTTAAAATTTATGGAGGGAAAAAGATGGAGAAGCTGCAAGGTAATGGTCCGCAGGTCACAGCTCAAGAACCTCCACTATTGGTTGCTGCCACAGAAAATGAAGATGCTGAAAACAAAGTCCTTATCTTACACAAAGTTCAGAAGAGAAAAACACATTCACACAGTCTCTTTGGTTAACCTCAAACAATATTATACAAATAGCAAGCTCTCAAAATACTTTTAATCTACGCCTTTCAAATGATCCACACTTTTAATCTTCATTTTTTTCCCCAACAGGCATAGAATTTGAAGTAAAAATGACTCAACTATTGTTCAAATGAAAAAAAAAAAAAAGGTCTGTTAAGTCCTTCTGGCAGTGCTGGAAGGCACCTGTTACATGATGCCACTTTTCTTTGGCAGATATTACTTTTTAACATTTTCTGGTGAACCTCTAAAAGAGCTGCTTAAAAATACACTGGTTTACTTTACCTAGACTTGACTCTAGTTATAGAGTGCCCAAGTGATAAAACTCCAGAAACTTCCTTTGAAGTTTCTTAAATAACAGCAAAACACAAAAAGCCATATGCCATTGGGGAAACAATTGTTCTTCCTGCCATGGTAAGAGTTGCTGAAATAATTCAGGGAAAACAATATGACAACAAACTAAAATGCACTCCCTTGTCAATAAATACTGATGGAAGATGCACAGAAGACCATGATAAAGATTTGAAGAAACAAGTGTGCAACAAGTTACATAGTGTGGGAGGTTTCCTATAAGTTAATGAAAGTACAGAAGTTTTTAACTTCTCGCATCTTGTGGTATTTGCATTTCATCAATGAAGTGCACAAAAATTCCTTTTTTTTTTGTGAACCACTAAAGGAAAGATGTACTGGAGAAGATATATTCTCATCAGGAAGTGGCTTCTTGAATAAAAAAACCGATGCATTATGGTAAAACTGTGCAAATATAACTACTTATGGAATGGCTGTTTTGACTGGAATAAGAAAGGGATTCCAGATTAAGGCTACAGAGAGAGCACTGCACATGAAACTCCTTCACTGCCTCACTCAGGGGTGAGCTATTGCAGCAAAGTAGTTGGAGCCAGGATTGTACAGTGTGTTACAGGATGGCATCAATGTTATAACTTGACAAAAACGAGCCTTCAAACAGTGGCATCTTTACCAGATTTTGTAATGAGATGGGGAGGGGCCACAAAATCCCTGGCAACACAGAGAGGTTTGCTCTCTGGGTAACTTGTGGCAAAGTGCTTCAAAGAGTTATCTTCTAAAAAAAAATGTGTCAGGTTTGACAAGCGCTCCAAACCCACTGACCTTTTCACTGATGACACGTGGCAATGAGTAGTTTGCTACCTAGCAGGAATTTCCAAAAACTAAACACTCAATGTGTCTCTTTAAGGTGAAGGTGTCATTTTAATAATGACTAAGAAAGTAACTCCTTTGCAAAAGAAACTTGCATTTTGGAGAAAGTATTTTGAAAATAGGTATTTGAATATGTTCACCTAATTATGTAATTTTTGTTTTAATTTTGTTGGTGAACAAAACATGTGTCACCTACAAAAGCCTCCTGTATCTGTACACTTTAGAAGGATATCAACAGAACTTTCTAACCTATTAAAAATCTTCCTGAGGAGAGTTTTAGGGAGTTGAAAACACTGACATGCAACACCTTCTCATTAGTTTGGAAGAAAAACTGATTGACATCAAGGGAGAATATAATTTATTTGCCCAATTTCAAGCAAAGCATTTGCAAAACTTGTGGATAGGAGTGAAAGATAAGGATAGTTAAGTAAAATTTAGTAAGTGCAAGCAACTATGTACTTTTTCTATGGGGATCTATGCATCTTTGTAAGGTATCTTTTCCAGGCATGACACCCATTAAGATCAAGTGTTGAAATAAACAACTTAGAACCAGGTATTAAAATTCATATATGACAGTGGTAAAGACTTTAAAAACTATGATGCAAGTTTAGTTGTAAAGATCTCAATGAAAAGTACTATTATTAACAGTAATCTTTTTAGATTAATAAATAGCTTAAAATATTTTAAAGTATTGCTTGTTTCCTCTTTATTGTATCCTTTTTTAACTTCTTTTTTTATGTTTCATAATGTACATAACATACAAGTACAGTGATACATTTACATAATTTAAAATGAATATACCTATATTGGGATTGTGCAGTCAGAAATTTTTTACTGATGGGGTGCATGAACAAAAGAAGTTTAAAGAGCTCAGATCTGGATGACTGGATGTGAATGCCATCTACTGAAAGCTGACACTTGTACAGAGTAATTCCCTGGCTTTTCATCCATTCTTACATCCCTCCTACAGCAGCATTCTTGGCTAACCTGTGTGTAAGCAGCTCTCAGCACAGCTGGTCACACCACTTTAAAGAGTTATTAATTTAAAGAGTCCAGTACTCTTCACAAGAAAATGGAAGTACAAGTACACTGCATAACCCTATTTCAACATCTTTCTGGTAATATGTGTGTGTTTATGTGCATGGATCATTTCAATGCTGGGGCAAGGAAAGGATGCAGTAAGTTGGGAATATTTAAACAAATTTGTTATAATGAGAAAAGCCTTAATTGAAGGTTTGCATGAGGCAATCGAATTTATATATGTATTAAATTATTCATACAGAAACACAGTAACTCTTGCACTGCTCTGTCACCACCAGACTGAGATGTGAAGAATTTTGTATTAATCATCCTAAATTCTACAGCCCTTGAGAACAAGTCATTTTGGAAAATAGTCCACATCCCCAAGCAGCCAAAGCCAACACAAGCAGATTTATATGCTTCAATACTGGTTTCACAGTGAGCTGATAAGACAGAGATCACACATATTAATTCTCTCACTACATGATTGCAAAAACAAGGATTATATTCAGGGCACAAAAGTGAGTACATCTGATGTCCTAATGAATATTTGACTCTTACCTTGCACCTTATCTGAACACAGCTCCTTGGCTCGATCCCTCATTATTTGTGGAATCAAAACATCTTTTTCTACATGTCTCAGCTTAGAATTTCCTGTAAAGAGTGAAAAAAAGATAATTTAGAAACGAAAAATTTGTTTTCTATACATCAGAAATAGTCGATCTAAAGAAAAAACACAGCATTGTTTACATAACATACAGGAGTACATTAAAACTGGCACAAACAGCAGTAGAAAGTACCAAAAAAGGTACAGATCAAAAAGACGGAAAGTCCAAAATTTGCTCAGATACAAATATGAACATATATGTATGCCCTGAATATTAATATGCACTGTGAACCAAAACTAAAGGAGCAAATTCTGGCAGCACATTTGAATTTCTGCCTTATTGAATAAAAAATCTGCTACAGACAGCACAGCAGTTAAATACTTTTATTTCTGGATACTAATATTTTTCTGTGCACATGATCTGTATGTGATATTACTAGTGGAATCTGGCAACGACAGAGGATTACAATGAGCAATATACAGAATCTGAACTAAAGACATTTCTCCTCAAAAATACCCCTTAACATTATTCTACAGCAGAAAAATACCCCTCTGTTCTGTACATACAACAGAAACACTATAAACAAATAGCTCATGATTTAGATTTGCTTCCATGCTCTGATTTTCATATTAAAATATTACAAATATCAGATTTCTACTAATATATTATTTTGCAGATAAAATATTACAAATATCCTTAATTTTAACTTTCTGCAGAGTATCAGTGCACTTACTGTACCAAACACTTGGTACAGTAAATAGGCTACAGACAAAACAAAGCTGTCAGAAAACTTCCAAGCATGTTTTGCAAACAGGATAAATCAGTTCAGCTGAATGACATGGACGGAACCACGCCACCACGCTATGTGCCTCAGCTCCACTCACTCCAGTCAAAGCAATCTGGCACTGTAGCCTTCCTACCCTCTTCCCATCCCTATGATGCTCTTTTTCCTCTGCCCACACAGACAGGCTCAGCAGCCCTGTGGTGAATGAAAGTGGAAGTTAATTTCTTTTAAAGGTAAATAAATTTTCTGTTAGGTAATTTTTCAACTAGGTAAATTCCCTGATCCAGTTTACTGTATAACACCAAAGACATCCACATGAGGGAATTCAATGAGACAAGTACAAGAAGACTGAAGTATCATGAGTACCACTGGCACAAATTACAGCCTTAATTTCTGCTCCCCACACTTATTCTAAACTCATCTTGGCTATACTGGTGCTTGGAGTACAAAGAGTACAAACACAGATACAGTGAATCAAGTGGGTTGCCACCTGTCACCAAAAGGGAATTTTTACCAGTGCCACATTGCCCTCACTCACCCTCATCATGTCATCATTATTATGCACCTAAGCTCACAGTGAGTGAGCAGGTAAAAACAGAAAACTAACCCAAATACATGTGAAAAACTGCTTCTCAGCTGATTTACACTTTGGAGTAATTAGATCTACTTATCTACTTCCCATAATTAGCATCATAGAATATCCTAAGTTGGATGGGACCCACTCTTGGCTCTTTTATACCACAGCATACATGGAAATGGAGCAGAGAGAAGTCTGTAGGGCCTGGGAAGAGCAGCTGGGCTTCCCCTACTGGCAAAGCTGGCCAGAAGCATCCACGGTTTTCACAATGACAAAGCACAGGCCTCCAGTGTAAGGATCAGCTATCCCTCTACTGACAAAGAGGAGAAGTGGGCAGGAATGCAGCTAAATGAGAGAAAGGAAATAGGACACAGTGCCATCTGGAAAAAAACAAGCACGCAAGCAAAGAAAAACAAACTCAAAAAGAGAAGACTTCCCTGATAGCCCAGAACAGTCAAAAAAGATTGTCGGGTTTTCTCTTAGGTTAAACACTCAATCTTCTGTTTGATTATTCAAAAGAAAGAGGCGTAAGACTGATAGCAAGAAGTAGCTCTGCTGGTGTTAACACCAGCACAACCAGAACCATGACAGAACTGTGCTCCAGGCAAATTCCTTCTTTTTAGTCCCGTGTTGTCAAGTCTACAAATGCTGAAAATGCAGAAAGGAGAGGGCACATCAGGACACTGGGCAGCATCCAGTAGGAAGAATGAGAAGAGAGCTATGACAGTAATTCAAATGTAATTATACAACAGCATAAAGGAAACTACAGTAAAAACTATTTATAAACTCATCTACAGTTTTTAGAATAATCTCTTGTGAAGTATCAGCAGTTTCAACAGGTTTTTCTAATTTTAAAAATGTTTGTATTTACAGGATTTTGCTTTTGTATTTTTAATTAGAAAATATTTATTACTTAATAATGGTTGGACTTCATGATGTTAAACTGAGCCTAAGTGACTCTATGAAAAGCCCAAGCAATTTTCATCACCTTATACTGTCTAAGTTTCAGGCTCTGAAACTACCTCTCCAAATAGCTCAAATGCAGATGTTCAGTTTAAGCAGTACTGTATTTACTTGTGAGTTTCTACTGGAACGTCTTAAATATGTGAATATTTTGCCTTGATTCTAAACTATCCATTGCATTACAATTACAGTGATTTTCCTTCAACAATCTTAAAACACTGTACTGAAGTCAGTATCTCTAGCATTTATATAAAATATTTAAGAAAAATAAGGTGCGAGTATTAAAAATAGCACATACCAGCTAAAGCAAATGTTTTCACATGCAAAGTACCTGCATTTCTGATACTGATGTACAACCACTTGCAAGATCATCATCAATTCAAGCTATTCATCTCTGCAGTAACATATATGGCAATAACTTTCGAAGAACACCTCAGAAGCAAGACTTCATCAAAAAATATGACACAACCATGATGTAAAACCATCAACTCCTTTTGTCTTTTTTCAACTATATTACAGTTTCCAGAATAAGAACTTATTCCCCCCTTTTGAAAGTTCACTATTCTGCACTAAGAAAGGTACATCTTAATCTAATACCAGATTCCTGTGGACGAGTCCCTATCGAAGAATCTGCATTTCACTCCTGTTTCATTTTATCATGAAAATATTATTTTCAGACAAGTAAGAAACATATTTTCCTACAGTTTGCCTTCTGCATTTGAAAGTTGATACCTTTGGTATCACCCACATCCTCCACACACTTTTCCTGGAATTCTGGGTAGGCTGTTTGAAGAGATCCTGGCCTTACGCCACAGAGTGAACCACCACATCACCCCAGACAAATGCTAGCCAGACAAATGCTAGTAGCAGCTTTTTCTTCTCCCTCTGCCAGCCCAAACTTGGGCATTTTTGTTAGGGCAATTTAATACTTTGATATTTTACCCTTACCTTGCCTTCTGATGAAATTTCCAAGTACCATCAAACATTACAAAGGAACAGGTGGATCAACAGAGCTAATCAAGTAAAGGTTACAAAACAAAAACTAAATTCTACTAATACTAAAAAAGAAGTATTTTGTAAAAACATACACAAAAGTTAGTCAGAATTATAACTAAATGCAGGCTTCCAGGGACTACAGCTAAGTCACTAGCTCCTTGAAATTATAAGTCTACAGGCAAGGAATCCGTGTGATAGAACCACTGAATGTTTACTAAAGACTGATCAGCAGATTCCAGAATGCTCCTCAAGGAACAGATGAGACGATAAACAATAAATAAAGAAGTTACAAGTTTGCAGGGGAAAAAAAAGACAAAAGGGGAGAAACCTACAGAAAAGGGAATACCTTCATGAAAGAGAAATTGTTTTTTATAAAACCTCAGCCCAGTGCAAAGAATTAAAGAGAGAGATTACTAAACTGGGAGACATCCCTATTCACCCTATCACTAAGAAACATTTCTGACTTGTTTTTTTTTTTTAACAAGTAAAATCTGTGGGGTTTGGCAAATCTCAGTGGTCAGTGGTCATGGTTCTCACTGCATACAATACATAGGGCACAAGACTACAGTTGTAATAGTAGCCTTCTGTGGTTGATCAAAACCCTCAGCTGCAAAAGCTCTTTATTGCCATGGAAGGCCAAGGACCACAGCTGGTCAGTTTAATGGTTTTAGTTATTTTTCTAAAAATGACCAAACCCCAAGAAACTAATATACATTAATAGGAACAAGAACATCCCGACCACTAGAACACATCAAATTCACTCTGTATGGAAGCTGGGAAAAAAGATGACAAATAATTTGCTGACTTTCTAGCCTCTGACCAAAGGACCCATGACAGCCTTGAGAACAACATGAGCACTGTGTAGAGCTGTGCTGCAGGCAGCAGACCTTTAAGGGGAAGAGGAGGATGAAATACAAAGCTGCTTTATAGTCCTAACAACAAAAGGGACTGTAGCAGCTTCTCATATTAATTAGAACACTATTACAAGAGGATAGCAAGACAAAAGCTCTCCTAGAAGAGTGTCCTGAGAGAAGTAATATAACCTCCCCGCTTCATTCAACACAGCTAGTAACTGACTTGCTCACCCTTTACTCATCCTGCTGGTAGTTAACAGCTCTGCTCTCACCTCTTTCATGACTTCAGGTAGCAGGGTCACATTACTCAGGAAAGTTGAAATCTTTATTCCTAAGTTGTAAAAGTGTATTAACTTAGAGGATTCAGTCGTTCTTCATGTCACTTGGTAAAAATTGTTTCTGTAAGGTAATATGCCATTTCATTACAAAGTTTTGCTTTAGAACACTTGCCGATGAGCAATTATAAAGATACACTGGAAAACTAAACTTTTCTTAATAACAGAAGGAGCAGCACAGTGTCCACTGCCTGCTTTCCAGCAAGCATTCCTTTCATCAATCAGACTATTGGCTCTAGACATTAAATTTTTTACAAAAAAAATCAGATCTATTTTAGTGTGTCTATAACAGTGTTTTGAATAAGCAAATATAATTAGAGCTTAGTACTCCTCCAGGAAAAGAATGCATTCAACTCAAAATTTTCATCTCCATTATTCTGCCTAGCTTATTCCCCTTGTATTAAATAAAAATTACCATTCTTAGGTTAATTCATGTGAATCATTTATGCATATGTGCATAATAAAAACTTATCCAACAAGACTGTATCATGGAATCAGACTGTATCAACTGCTCAAAATCTCTATTTGAAAGCACAA